TTGGCCTCCGAGATCCCTTCTGACTCTGAGTCTCTGGGATCACCATTATCCACAATTTACAGATGAAGAAATTGAAGTACAGAGAGTCCAGGGTTATCCAGCAAGTGTCAGAGGTGAGATGCCTTTCTCCCTTTCCCCCCATTGTCCGTGAAGACTGAAGCCAGATACCTCTTTCCAACATACTCCAGACTTGAGCTTTGTGTCAGAATTCCTTTGGCTTCAGTTCTGGTTCTGGGCTTCAGGCCAGCATGGTATCAAAGGCCCTTGTAGGATCAATTTATTAGCTCAAACATGGTTCAGCTTGGGGAACCCTTCCACTGCCTGCTGGTGATGTAATTCCCAGCAAGTTGGAGTTCAATCTGCGTGGTTTGGCAAAGGCTAAAAAGGGAGAAGATGACAGACCTAGATTACAGCCTAGCAGCGCATCTCCACTGTGGCTGAAATCCCATGCTTGTCTTTTTTCAATTAGTTACTTAATGGTCCCTCTGAATTCACTTTCTTTTTCTTTTTTCTTTTTCATTTTGTGGATGGACGCTGCTTCATACTTCTCTCTTTCTCTTCTGATCAATAGAATTTGTTTTTACTCATTTCCCAAACAAGTGGTATAGTACATGCCCGAGAAGTCATCTGTCTGCCTCTGTTTATAAAACCAAGCTCACTAGGACATCTCTTTGAAAAGCACAGAATTTGGGCAGCTAGATGGTTCAGTGGATAGAGCACTGTTTCTGGAGTCAGGAGGACCTGAGTTCGAATCCAGCCTCAGACCAAACTCTTGACACTTACTAGCTGTGTGAGCCTGGGCAAGTCACAACTCCAATTGCCTAAAAATTAAAAAAAAAAAAATTAAAAAAAAAACCCAGAAAAGCACAGAATTTGATGAGGTTATCAGGGGAAATTCTGGCTTCCCTCCGCCATCTTGGTTCTGTCCCCTGGACAAGTTTTCAGGGGTGTGAAGTGCTTTCACTACAAGGGATATCAGGAGACACCCTACATACCTGCTGAGTATTTGGATAGCTCTCTCCATATGCTCCTTGGTGGCAGTGAGACACAGGAGAAAGAGGAAACTGAGGCCCAGAGAAAGGAAAAGTCCCAACAAGTCAGTGGCAAGACCCAGATTGGAACCAAGTCCTCCTGACTCTTAGTCTATCTAGCTCCTTATACTGCTAAGGGTGTGGTCTCTTCCCCACCCTGTGAAGTGTATCATTCAGGTATCATTTTCCATTTAAAAAACACAACTTTTTTTTTTAAACAGAAGAGGAGAATGAGGTTCAGATAGGCCAAGTGCCTTTTGTTCCCGTAGTTACTTAGTGAGTGTCTGGGTTCTCAGACTGGAGCCCTCTCTTCCCTTCCTCATGACAGAAGAGGGGACATTTTCCTGGTGCCTCCAAACGCAGTTCTCTGAGGTTTTAGGGGTCACAAAATCTTTCCTCGAAGTAGTCCCATGAAACTTGTAGGGCACCCTATCATCCCCATTTTACAGATAAGGAAAGTGAGGCTCAGGGAGGAATAGGATGGCATTCTAAAGTCAAAAGGGACTGGCAGATCATAGCAGCATAGATTTAAAGTTGGACAGATCCTTAGAGGTCATCTAGTCCAAACCCTCTATTTTAGGGAGGAAGAAGCTGAGGCCTGGTGTGTGTGTGTGTGTGTGTGTGTGTGTGTGTGTGTGTGTGTGCGCGCGTGCGTGAGCTCTCGAACGAGCGCGCGTGTGAGGTGACTTGCTTAAGGCCACACAGGCCACACTAAGCAGTGGAACCCAGACTTTCCTGAAGATGCATCCAATCCTTCGCACCTCTCACCGACCTCCAAATTTTCTGAACTTCCTAGCATTCAGAGCCTGATTTAGCACCCACAGCCTTGCCTTCTGCCTCCTCTGTGGGAGTCCCATATCCCCCAAAGACTGGGAACAATTGTAAGCCAGGGTCTGGGGCACCCTTCTCCTTCCCCAATTCATCATCTCTATATCTTGTTTGCACATAGTTGCTGACAAGTCATCTCCCTCGTTAGACCTCAAGCTCCTTGAGGGCAGGGGCAGTTTTTTGTCTTATTTTGTGTTATCATTTACCACAGTGCCTGGCTCACAGTGGGTGCTTAATAAATGCTTGTTGGCTTGACTTGGCTTGCTCCATCATAATGAAGGTGGGTGGAGGATTGGGAGTCCCACAGGCTCAGAGAGGGAGGATTGGATTGGGGCAGGGAGGACACCGAGGTGGAGAGTGAGGGCAAACAGCATGTGGGGCCTCTTCACTGGGAGGAGAAACTTGTGTCAGAGCTTGTATACTTGAGCCACCTCTTATTTTCATGTCTCTTCCAATGGTGGCCAAGCCCAGTCCATCCTGTACAGCCTTTCTCATCCCTGCAGCTATCATGAAAGGACAATCAATCAGTCAATCAATGAGCATTGACGGAGGATCTTCTCTGAGTTAAGCATTTGTGCAGAGCCCTGAGGATACTGTAGGTCTTCAGTGCTGCTTGTCTGAGCTATTGTAGTAACCTTTGACACACCTCCCTGTGTCTTTGTTCTCCCCCCCCCCCATTAGTCTAGCTTTCACATGAAGCAGAATGATCTCCCGTAAGTATAGGTCTGGTCATGTCACTTCTCCACTCAAAAACCTTCCATAGCTCCCTATCACCCCTTAGTCAAGTCCTCTCCCACCTGATATCCCACTCTTCTTTCCACTTCTCTCTCCTGTGATGCTCCTGCGTGTACTCTACACTTCAACCAAGTGGAATGGCTCTTCCCCTCCCCACCTTCCCCCACACTCTCTCTCCTCTCTGCCTTTGTTTCCACGGCTCCCCATGCCTATGCTCTCCTCCCCTCTTTGTGAGCTTCAGGAAGCCTTTTCCAGTTCCCTTGGTCAAAAACAACCTTCCACATTGCTTGAGCCTTTCTTATTTTGTCAGGAATTATTCTGATCTGCAGCTATCTGCATTTGTGCCCTCTTAGACTGGGAGCTCCATGTGGGCAGGAACTGTGTCTGGTCTCAGCTGGGCTCCCCTCCCCTGTGTGGATGCCAGCACACTGGGCAAAGGAGGGGCTTAAACCAGGGGTGATGGGGAAGGCTCGGTTCTCCTCTGCTCTGGCACCCTCCCCCCTCCGCCCCCCCCACCCCCGATTCCATCCCAGGAAGGGTTAATCAGATTGCAGAGCAGCGTCTCCTTGCAATGATTAGCAGTCATCCGATCCTTTCAACAAAGCTTTAGCAGCATTAGGAGGAGGGGAGAAAACAAACCCCAGGACCCCAGGCTGAGCCGTGCCTGGAAAACTGACAGCTCAATGCCAGGGAGAGACAGTCCCATCAGCAGCACGTCTTCCCCTCCGGAGACTGGGATGCTCACTCGGGGCCCTAATTCATTGCACATGGGCCTGCTTGGGGCCTGGCCCCACCATGAACAATGATGTGTGATGGAGAAAGAGCACAGGCAGCCCTGGAAGATGTCGAGCTGGACCATGATAGGTGACAGACCTCAGGTGCTGGTGAGAAGGCAGCCTTTGCTTCTCCATGACTAGCCCTACCCATCTCAAGCAGTATTGGGCCCTGAACTGGGTGCATAGATCTAGCCCTACTTCCAAGCTAAAGAGGACCTTTGGTGATGGACACTGGCTTGGGCTCTGAGGAGCTCTCCCTCATCCCCCACCCCAGGCTGTATGGGAAGTCAGGAAACCTGGATCACTGGATGACCTTGGGTAAATTACTTAACTTCTCTGTGACTCAGTTTCTTCATCTGTAGAAAGAGAATTGGACCCAATTATTTCTAAGATTCCTTCCATAATTCTATGAGACAATGACTTTTTAACAATCAATAATCCAAAGAGGCTAAGATTTTATGATCATATTTCCAAGGCTCTGTGATGCTAATGACTAAGATTTCTCTGTGGTTCTCAGGTCTGCCAATCTGCTCATGCACCATGCCACCCCTGTTACATATATCATTCCATTTGGCTCTCACAACAACTCTGTGATGTAGGTACTATGATTGTGCCCATTTTACAGATGAGGAAACTGAGTCACAGAGCTAGTAAATGCTGAGATGGGCTTTGAACCTAGCTCTTTTTCACTCCAGGTCTAGCACTCTATCTACTGAGAAACATTTAGCCCATCTAAGAGTCTAAGACTTGTTTGCCCTCTGTGTAAATGGAAAAGGTGGTCCCCAAATGTCTTTGATTTCATGAAATGCCTGCCCCCAGCCTGTGGCACTTCCTGAAGGCCCACCAACACTGGGGTTCATTGCTGGGGTTCAGAGGTGCCCTCACTCAGCTCCTCCTTATACACTTAGACTCTCCTGAAGATGGAACACATTTGGCCCTATTTTTTAAAAAGTCACTATTTATTTTTAATATTTATTTAAAAAATAGAGTTTCAAATTCTTTCCCTCTTGCCCTGCCCCCACCCATTGAGAAGACAAGCAATATGATATCAATTATACATACACATTTAGTCCCTTATCAGACTTTTCCCAGACATTGAAGCAGCGTGACACTCTTGGGTAGAGAGAACAGGGAATAAGGATCGGAGAGGGGACAAAGGGCCTTGAAGGTCAGGTTGAGTTGTCAGAAGGTGAGGGACCTTAAAACATGGAATGTCACTGTCTGATGGGGCTTAGAACTTAGAACGTCTGAGGTGGGAGGGCCCTTAGAAGTCTTCTTTTTTCCCTCATTTACAGATGAGGGAACTCAGGCCCAGAGAAGGAATTGCTTTGTCAATAACTAGCAGCATCAGATTTTAAGCCAGGTCTGGGTCATCATTTTCTCTATTTGGCTTTCCGGTGCCTGGGCATGACGAGTTCTTGCAGCTGCTGGTGATGGAGGATTGTGCAGCTGTCCAGCAGGGGCAGAGCTGGGCATGTCAGTTGTCTGGCTCCTGCTACCTCGTGGAGCCCCGCCCACCTGCCTGTCCAACCAAAGGGGCCTGCAAGGTCTCTGGGCGGGTGATGCCATTATTGAAGGGTTCAGCTGCCTTATTAGGAGGGATTTGTTGGTTCAAGGCAGAAGCTTAGCAGCTTAAGCCTCAGGCTGAGATATCAAGACAGGTTCTATCCCTGAGGAGCTGACTTGGCACTCCAGGCTTCCCAGGGCCTGATCCAGGGTAGGTCATGTGGTGGGAGGGGCAGGGGGCTTCCAACTGACACTGAATTTGACTGAAGCAGGATGGGATGAAGTGGAAGGCATCTCCAGGGAGCCCCACGACAGGCTACTAAATTCTGCTTGTGATTTCCATTATCTACAGCATAAAGATCATACTCCTCATTCTGGCATTCAAGGCCCTCAAACCACTGATCCCAAATTGCCTTCCACACTCCTTCTCCTAATCTAATACCACTAATAGAAGCTACCCAATTTACAAAGCACTTTCTTGACCAAGATTCTGAGTGAGGGCCAGCAAAGGATCATTGTTTCTATTTTTCCTAGGAGGAAAATGACACCCAGAGGCAGGCAGGTGACTTCCCAAGGCCGTATAGTAGGAAGTCAATGGAAGAGTAAGGATTGGAGTCCAGCATAGGGTTCTTCTTTTTTCTTTCTTTTTTTTTTTTTACAGTGCCTGACAAGACTTTAAACCACTGTTAACTCTGCATGATGGTCCTGCCATCACTAACATCCACTGCGGATGCTCCATCCTGGGCTGGAGGTGAGTTTGGGCTCCTAAAGCCTCTGCTTGCAGGCACCTGGTAGGTCATAGAATCCTAGCTTTAGAGCTGGAAGGGATCTTGGAGTCCAACGTTTTTATTTTACAGATGAAGAACGGAAGGTCCAGAGAGGATAAATCACTTGTCCAGAGTCACACAACTATTAAGTGTCTGAAGTAGGATTTAAACTCAGGTCTGCCTGACTCTCAGCCCTATGTCCTCTTCACTAGGCCGTCCTTTCTCTCAGATCCTACTGAGCTAGAACAGATTCTAGCCTAGGCCCAATGATAGCATGTCCGTCGTCTGGGGATGTCAGTCAATAAGTCCATCAGGCATTTATTAAGGCCCCGGTACATGTCAGGAAGTAGGAATACAAAAACAAAACTGAGACATTCCCTGATTTCAAGTAGGCCACATCTATTGGGCAAGAACAAGCATTTATTAAGTGTCTACTATATGCCAGGAACTATTTGATCACAAATTGGGACCCAACAGGCACATGTAAGTATATGCAAAATGAATATCAGATAATTTCAGGGGGACTAGCCTGACAATGGTAGGGTGACAGTGTCCATGATCCTGTAGGGTGGGCCACCAAAGGATGTGCTTTTGGGAAACAGAGATGGATTGGTCCAACTCACAGCTTTCCATTCTGACCCTGTGACTTTCTACAGGTCATCCCCCATGACCTCCCTCCTTATCTCTATCTCTTAGAATTTCTAGTCTCCTTTATAGCTCAGCTCAAGGACCATCTTGTGCATGAGACCTTTCCCGTCATCCCAGATGCTGGTGTCCTCCCTCCCTAGCTTTTTCTAGCTTGGGTCTGAACAGGCCATTTGTCTACTCTAGAACTTTGCTAATTCTTCATCACCTCCTGTAGACATTAGACTCCTCAGTTTGGCACTAAAATCTCTGCCTTATTAGATTCTAGGCTATCTTTCCACGTTTATTTACAGATTCTCTATGTTCCAGCTAAGCTCTTTTCCTTGCTATTCCATTTTCAGCCACTATGCCTTTGTCCAACCTGCATGGCATGCTCTTCCTCCATTTGTTAGTCTCCTTCAAAGCTCAACTCAGAGGCCTCCTCCTATGGAATCCTTTCATGATTCTTCCAATTGTTGGAGCTCCCTCTCTCTCCTCAAATTATATTGGATTTATTTATCTATTTAAATGTTGTATTCACCCTAGTCCCAGGAGAATGGAGGCTCTTTGAAGGCTGCAAGTATTTAAAATTTTGTCTTTGTAACCCCACTCCCAGCCCAATACCAGGCACACAGGAGGTGCTTAATCAATGCCTGTCCTGTGAATGAATCCTCCCCTTTCCCTTTAAACACTCTACGTCATGACCAAATTGGGCTACTAGAAGACTCAGTGCACTGAGTTTGAGAGTCAGGAAGACTTGAGTATGCATCCCACCTCAGATGTTTGCTAGCAGCTGTGTGAGCCTGGTTAAATCACTCAATTTCTCTGTGCTTCAGCTTCCTCATCTATAAAATGGGCACAATAATAGAAACATATTCGATGTGTTGCCAAAGCCTTGTCAATTTTACTTTCCTAACATTACTTGATTACATCCTTTTCTCTTCTCTAATGTTATGCCCATTCTGGTGCAGACCCTAGTCACCTTACACCTGGACCATTGCACTAGCTGCTGGTGGGTCTGCCTGCATCGAGTCTCTCTGACTCCAATCCATCCTCCCTCAGCCACTAAAGTGATTTTCCTAAAGTGCAGGTCTGATCATGACACTCCCCCTACTCAATACACTCCAGTAGCTTCCTATCACCTCCAAGATCAAATATTAAATACCTTGTTTGGCATTCAAGGACCTTCATAACCTGCTTCCCCCCTCCACCTTTCCAGTCTTCTTACACCTTACAGCCTCCCCCTCCAACCTCTACCATTAATGGCTTCCTGGTTGTTCCTTGGCTGTGACCCTCCATCTCCTGACTCCAGGCATTTTCTCTCCCTACTGGAAGCCTCTCCTGTCTCATCTCCACTTCCTGGCTTCCCTGGCTTTCTTCAAGTCCCTGTTTAAATCCCCAACCCCCTTCTACAGGATTCCTTTCCTGATTCCCCTTCATGTGAATGCCTTCCCTCAGAGATTCTCTCTGTTTATGGCCTGTTTGAACACAGCTGTTTATACGTTGTCTCCTCCATTAGACTGGCATTCACTTTTCCAGGGCAGGGACTGTCTTCTTTTCTTTGCATCCCAGTACTTAGGGCAGTGCATGGTATGCAGCAGACACTTATTAAATGTTTATTTTTGGTTGTAAAGCATGGCCTTTGAGGTCCTTTTCAATTGTGACATCCTGGGATTCCATCACCTCCTCCAGGATGCCGTGCAGCGTTAGAGAAGTCCATGAGGATGAGGAGGTCCCTGGACGCCAGATCTCAAGGAACCAAAGATGTATAATCCAGAAAAAGAAGGAATCAGCAGCTCTCGGGCAGTTGTGTTCTCTTGTCTGAAAAATGGCATGGGCAGAAGGATGAGCCCCATTCTGCTTGATTTCAGAAGGCAGAACCTGGAGCAGGGGCTGGTGGGAATTGCCACATTGCAGATTTTAGCTCAGTGTAAGGAGATCCTGACAAGGATGGCTTGTCTAACACCAGGCTGAGTTGTCTTGTGAGGCAGTGAGCTTCCTGTCACTGGAAGAACTTTTACAAGGCTGGAGGGCCCCCTTGTTAAGGCCTTGTCTGGGGTGACTCATGTGTCATGTAAGAGGTGGTGAGGTCCCTTCTAGTTTTCTGATGATTCTAAAATTCTAGGATTTTAAGGTTTCAGGTTCTAGGATCTCAATGTTCTAAGAATGACCTGATGGGGCAGGCAGACCTCCCCCACACCTACTCTGGTCCAGGTTCCTTCAAATCATAGACCTGATTTGGTTTTGTTCCTAACACCATCTGGCTTGCAAACGACTGTTATGCTGATTGTCATTTAGAAAGCTCTTCTGGGACTGTGTAGGACTTCACCAATATTCCCATCTCACCCTGGGCAGTGATAGCAGGCAGGCATCCTGCTGTGGGGACATTTCTTTGGGCTGTTGGGTGGTGCCAAAGGGAGGGAGGTGCAAATACCCTTCATTTTAATTAAAGTCAACTCAGCTTTGTTATTCTCACCTCCTCCCTTATTGCCCAGGTTTATAATTCTCTTATACAGAGCCCTGTGGGGGCTTAATGGGGAGGGTGGGCAATAAGATTAGCCACTGGCAGTCTCTCCAGATTTCAGGCTCTGCCCTCGACTTTCTGGAGGAATGACCTGAGCCCTGGGTCCACTGGGGGCCTCCAGGCAGAAAGGGCAGGGATGGGAGCAAATTGTGGCAAGGAAAACTACTTATAAGTGCACTAATGATGCTTTGATTGCCAGTAGCAGTAGTGAGCCCTCTATCTCATTTGTTAGCTCTGCAAAGCACTTCCAGATGAAGGCTGAGATTATTATGATGATTTTCTAGTGACGGAGAGCTCACTACCACCTGAGGCAGCCCCTTTCACTTGGGGACAACTTTACATATTAGGAAGATTTTCCTTACTTTAAGCCCAAACCTTTCTGAAACTTCCTCCCCTCCTGTCCTCGCCCTCCTCTACTCCTGCTCTACTGCCAGGTGGAGTCAATCTGATTGAGCCAGTCCTCTACAAGGCGGTCCTTCAGGGGTCCATGAAGTACAGGCCTGGATGAGAATCCACTCGCTACCTGTGTGACCTTGGGCAAGTCACTCAGTCTCTTTGGGCCTCAGTTTCCTCATTTGTAAAGTGAGGGATTGGACTAGGTGGCCTATAAGGTCCCTTGTCCATCTGGATGCTGGATTCTGGTACTTGAAGGTAGCTCCCATGTCCCACCTGAGTCTTCTGTTCTTTAGACTAAACATCCCCTGTTCCTTCGACTGACCCTCATAGATGGTGGACTCCTGGCCCTTCCCTGTCCTGACTGTCCTTCTCTGGTTCTCCCCAGCTCCTCAGTATCCTCCTAAATTGTGGTGCCTTATCTTGTTTGGAAGCCTGTTTCCAAGTGTGTGTGATTAAGGGGCTGGTATTGTGTGAAGATGAAGACTTTTAATTGACCATGGAGTTGGAAGAACCAGTGACTGAGGAGGGGCTGAGCTAGAAGTGAGTGCACCTATAGACAGGCTGACTCACTCCCCTCTGTCTCTTTTTCCTTCCTGATGATGAACAAGGCAGGAACTTCTGTGACTTCCTGGGCAGTGGCAGCAAACTGCTTCCCTCCACCCAGCTGCCATATGTCCATGAACACATGGTATCTCTGTTTCTCTTGGGTAATCTTCCCTGATCCTAGGTGAATGAGTACCCCTAGATGGAAGTGACTTGTGAGTTTTGGTGATCCTGAGATTTAATCTAGAGATCCCACTGGTGACCAGTTGGTAGCAGAGTTCACTATAGCACGAGTGGCTGGTGACAGAAGAAATGTCCTTAGATGTGGAAAAAGGCACCAGAGGAGAGTGGCACTTTCAGGGATCATGACCTCTTACGTTGGAGAGAAGTGCTGCTTATGGGCTCTAAAAAGGTACTGAGCCTTAAGGCCCATTAGATATAACTAAGGGCAACTTTTTGAGGACTCTATAAAGGGAGAAAGGAACTTCTAGTAATTAGGAGTTCCTGGTACTGCTTTGTAATATGTACTCCTTACATACATTCCTCACAATCACTGTACTTTACATTTGAGTATATTTTCCCCAAGGGCCTCGTGTGCAAAGATAGTCTGCACCCTGATTGGGGAGAATTGTTTCATAACAACTTTTTCTTTCTTTCTTTATTTTTGCTATACCATCTTAGGAAATCTCTTTTCTAAAAGCTAGTTCAGGCTACTGGCTGATAATTAATGGGGAGCACACTGGCAAGGGCCTATGTGTGCATATATGTGTGTTCTCCTAGAAGTGTGAAGGTAAAAATAAGTCATTTGCCCTCTGGGGATTCAACCTGCCAGTAGAGGTGCCAGTTGTAGGAATGAGCCAATGTATACAAGAGATGTTACACAGGTATGTGGGACTCATCTACTTTGTTAAACTGGAAACTCTCCAAGGTTAGGGACCAGCTCTCCTCCTTCATTGCCTTCCCCATCATAGATCTGGGCACATAGCAAGCAGATCGACCTGTATTCCGGTCCATTATAATCCATCCCACACCATCACCATTTCCTAATTTCTTTCTAGCTTTGTGCTGGGTACACAGAGATGAATCAATGATACTCCCTCTGCGGCTAAGCTCTCTTTGACGCTAAGCCCTTCTCTTTCCTGAAGTTCTGCCCAGATTTCTTTTCCCTAAATTTAGCCTCTGGCTTTCTCAATCACAAGTCAGAATGTCTTCAAGTCTCCTTCACAATTCCCTCCTTCTTAAGTCTTTCTCCTAGACCATTCTGCTTCATAACTGTCCTCATCAGAACCCTGATACCATCACAATAATTGCTATTATCATCATGACACTACTAATAATAGCTGGCAGATATATATACACACAAATATATATATATATATATATATATATATATATATATGTGTATGATTTGCAAAATGCTTTACAAATATCATCTTATTTAATCCTCACAACAGGTATTATTATTATACCCATTTTCCAGATGGTGGACTTGAGACAGTAGAGGTTAAGTGACTTGCCCAGAGTCACACAGCTAATAAGTGTCTGGGACAGGATTTGAACTCAGGTCTTCCTGACTCCAGATCCAGCACTCTGTGGCCACACACACAGAAAGAAGGAAGAGCTGTAGCATTCTGGATGCAGATTCCAATCTTGGTTCCTAGCCTTGAAGTTGTGGTGATGGGAGAGATGAATAATCCAGGCATCTTCTAGGGGTGCTCTCTGACAAGATCAGAATCTATCAAGAAGCTTTTATTAAGCACCTATTCTGTGTCAGGCATTGGCCTAGGCCCTGGAGATGTGTGTGTGTATGAATATGTATATGTGTATGTATAATGTGTGTGTGTGCTGTGCATGTAGACTTGCAGTAGGCACATATGCATGTAATATATGTGTATAATGTGCTTAAGTGTATGTGTGGTCTAAGTATATTCACATATGCAATTTGCAAATGTTGTGGTGCATGTATTTTGTGTGTGTGTGTGTGTGTGTGTGTGTGTGTGTGTGTCTGCATACTTGCATGGCACGTGAGCCAGAGGAAGCTACGGCCCCAGGCCTGCTGTGCTTTCCAAGGCTAGGTCCTTATCTGATGGTGGGAGATGACAGCGTTAGACCAGACCCCTGTCTGGGCTTACTTTGCTAACAGACATCCTTCCTTTCCTAAGAACCTAGACCTGTGTGTTTTGTTCCCTCAGCCCTCAGGGATGGTAGGAAGGAGGGCAAGATTCTTCTACTTCCAAAAATCTGAACACCAGGCTTCTTCCCGAGGGCCCTCCAGCAGTCTGGGTGGAGACCCCAATGCGGTGTCTACTAGACATGTACACAAGGTCTTTCTTTTTGTACTGTCTCTCCTCCACAGAATGTTGACCAGCAGAGGAGTTACCTTCTTTCCCTTCAATTGTCAGAGAAATCACCCATCTAAGTACAAGATGGGCAGCTAGGTGGTGTAGTGGATGAAACGTGCCTGGAGTCAGGAAGGTCTGAGTTCAACTCCTGCCTCAGACACTAGGTGTGTGACCCTGGGCAAGCCACTTCACCCTGTTTGCCTCAGTTTCCTCATCTGTAAAATGAGCAGGAGAAGGAAATGGCAAACCTCTCTAGTGTCCTTGCCAAGACAACCCTGAAGTGGGGTCACAAAGAGTCGGATGTGACTGAACAACAGAAAATGCAAGACAGAGGGAGGCATGGCTAGCCAGCATTTGTCTGATCCATTTTATAGATCACGAAACTGAGGGTCAGAGACATAAAGTGACTTACCTCTGTTACATGGCTAACAGTCAGATAGATGTAGAGAGGAAAACCAAGTCTGGAGTCTTTTCTCTGCATCATGAGAGATCTCAGAGGGGGATTCTCCTCTGCTAGTCAGGAGCACCCACTCATCCCCTCCTGCCTATTCTTGGCCCTATTATCACCTGGCTGGGCTAGGGGTGTAACCTTCCCTGGCTTCCTTCAAGTCTTAGCCGAAATCCCCCCTTCTCCAGGGAGCCTTTCCTGGGCCCCCTTAACGCTAGTGCCTTCCCTCTGTCGATTTTCTCCAGTGAATCCTGTCTACGGCTTACAGTTATTTGCCTGTTAGACTGTGAGGTCCTTGAGGGCAGGACTGTGGGTCTGTGCCTTTTTGTCCCTCCAGGGCTTAGTGAAGTGCCTGATATGTGGCAGGTGCTTACTAAATGTTTATTGACTGACTGACCTCTTGGGGCCCGCCTGTTCTCCACACTCTCCTCCCTTTAATCCATCCTTCCCTGGCTTTCAGAAGTGGCCCTGCGGCTCTTCTGCCTTCGGGGGCTCCTTCTGGCCTCCTGACATCATTGGTCCTCTTTGAGAACAAGCATAAACAAGAACGATAAGGACCTCCTCAGTGAATTTAACACTGGCCTGGCCTCCTCTTCCCCACTGTATCCTTCCAGCCTTACCTTTTGTAAGTATCCCCCTGAAGATAACGTACAGGGGCACAACCAGGCAGCTCTGAGGCCCGCCTCGCACCTCGGCCCCTCTCCTGTGCCTCTACTTTTCTCACTCTGCTCCCTACGCCCAGAAAGTCTTCTCTCCCCCTCTTCCCCTGGTGAAATCTTACCCATCCTTTCAATCCCAGCTCAGTTGCGCCTTCTCCACCTGTAACCCATTCCTTCTCCAATACTTTGTCTCAGCCAAGGGACTGGGGATGTTTAGAGCAGAGGAGAAGAGAATCCACAGGGAGGGGGCAGGGGTAGACTAATAGATTCAGAGCTGGAAGGGACTTTGGAGATTGTTCAGGCCAAGCCTTTCATTGTACAGATGGGGAAACTAAGGCCTAGACTTTCCTAAGATCACACAGTAGGTGGGATTTGAATCCAGATTATCACCTAAAGGCTGGCAAGTGGAGGAAGGACCTCACTGATTCTGCCTGGGCCCCAGAGGACAGAGCCAGGAGTGCCTGAGGCCTGATGTCAGGAAGGACTTTCTGAGCTAGGAGAGCTGTCCCAGAACGGAATGGGGTTGTCTCAGGAGGCGTGGGCTCCCTCTCCTCTGAGGCTCAATGACCCTCCAAGGAAGGGAGGAAGAGGATTACGTTATATCACTGAGGGAGGGAACCTTCAACTCCTACATCCTAGGGTTAAATGAGATGGAATAACGCCCCCGGCCCAGGTATGAGCACACTCCCAAACCTGGCCTCACCCTGAGCCACAGAGGGAAGCCGGCCTCTGTCTGACGCAGAGCAGGGACGGCTTGGTCACCACTAAGGAAAATAGATGGAGTGGAATGTTTGCACGTGGCAGGCGGGGGGAGGGGGAGGTCTGCAGGCAGCCGCTGATGCCTGCTCTCCAGGGGCTGGGGCTCTCTTCCCTCCTAGCTCCCCCCCAGCTCTTTCTCTGGAAGAGAGTGGAGGCTGGGGGTTGGGGTATTAGGGTGAAGAGGGCGCAGGAGGTTACCGGGGTGGGGTGGGAGGGATGGACAGGAGAAAATGCCTTTTCCAGATTCAGGCCCAGGGCCCTCCCATGTTGACATGCCATAAGTTTTAATGAGAAATTTGGAGTATTTGTGGGGGAGTGGCTGGCTTTGTGTACACAGATGCTGCCCTGGCCGTCATGGGAGGAGGGAGAGAGAGAGGGGGGCAGCCTCTTCCCTGGCCTGGCCCATGGTCCAGGACAGGCTCCTCTCTGGACAAAGGGAAACTTTCGGACTGGCTCCCCTTTGAACTTACTGCTACACTGTTCGCTTTGGCTGGCCCTAGGGCCCTGTACAGATGCTAAAGTCAGTGTGTGCATGTACATGTGCATGTATGTGTGTACATGTGTAGTGCATGTATATTATATGTGCACGTGTAACACACATATGCACACGTGTATCGTATGCACATGTGTAGCATGCATAGGCATGTAGCATGTGAGTGCATACGTGTATGTGCATGGTATGCATGCACACACGCACACACAGCATGTTTGCCTGTGTATATAACATGTATGTTCACATAGTATAAGTGTATGCATTCATATGTAATGTATGTGCACATGTGTAATATGCAGGAATTGTATGTATAGTGAATATCATGTACTGTTGTATGTGTGTAGTGTGCACATGCATATGTAGTACGTATATAGCATGTTTGTATGTGCATGTGTATATGTGTACTGTGTATATGTATAGCATGTGTATGTGCACGTATTATGTTTGTGTGAGTGCTGTGAGCGTATGCATGTATATGTGTGTGTCGTATTGTGCGCATGTGCAGTACGTGTGGGTAGGGAGAGGCCACAGTGCGCTCACCCAGAGCCCTGCCATCCAACTGGATGGAGGCAGGGGACTTTTAGGGCCCCTTTTCCTCAGCCCTTCTTTTGGCCTCTTGGAATTCTAGCCTGGAGGCTCCTAGGCTTTGTGGAGGTAGGGTTGGGTTTGCAGGGGAGCTCCCTACTTCCAAGCTGGGGGACCTCGGAAATACTGCTTCCATTCTCAGAATCTACCTCTTTCCCTCTAGAAAACACCAGAGGATTGATTTAAATTGGAGAGAGGACTCAGAGGTCACCTGGACCAGCTCCCTCATCTTTCAGAAGAGGAGAGGCCATAGAAGGAAAGCGGCCATCCAAGGTTGTAGCCAAGGTCACGGGGCTGGGTCTCCCAATCTAGGCTCATTCACTGCCCCCTCGTGCACCTTCTGCTCTGGGCTGACACTTAGGGTGGTCCCTGGGCTGGCCGTTGGCTAGATGTGACCAACAGGAGACAAGCCCTGCCCTCAAGGAGCATACACTGTACCGGGGGAAGGGCAGGAAAGAATTAGTGGGAAGATAACCAAATACATAATCCATACAAAGTAAGTGCAACATCGTTTGGAAGCTGCCTGGAAATTTGTGGGACTGTTATGATCAATCCAGAGGTGACCTTGTCCAAGGTCACTGAGACTCAGATTTGGGAGTTCAAAAGCCCAAGTTGGAATCCTGGCTTGGTGTGACCTTGGGCAAGTCTTTTCCCCCATTTCAGGCTCCAGTCTTCTCCTAGGAGAAGGAGGGGGAGCAGCTTCCTAAATCTAATAAGATCTTTTAGTCAATCTGTTAGTCAGGGACAGAGCTGAGAATATACCCAAACTCTTCCCATTTATAGCAAAGGATTTGCTTCCATGCCAAGAAATGGACCAGGAGGCCATCTCCAGGCATGTGGGACTCTGCCATGAAGCCTTCCTGAAGGGTAGCTGCCCGCCCTCTTTTTTTTTTTTAATTTCCAGCAATCGGAGTTAAATGACTTGTCCAAGGTCACATAACTAGTAAATGTCTGAGGTCACATTTGAACTCAGGTCCTCCTGACTCCAGGGCTTGTGCTCTATCCACTGCGCCACCTAGCTGCCCCTTTTAAAAAAAAATTCAATTTTATATTTTTCAATTAGCAAGTATTTATTCCCTTCCCCTAACCCCTACCATGCCATTGAGCAAGAAAAAAAAATGAGATTAAAGCTGTTACAACAAATATGCCTACTGATCCAGAAATGTAATGCTTTAGCCTCCTCTTGAACACATCTAGTGACAGGGAACTCACCCCACAGCTACAAAGAGACCATTTAATTTTTTTAGGAGAAATTGAGTAGATTAACCCCCCGCCCCTGTCGGGTTACAGCTGGCTTCCTTTGAGGGATTTCCTGCTGGCCTCTCTCCCACAGTGGTCCGTGGCTTCTCCACTGCTCCCTGTCCATTTGTCTCCAGATTTCTCTAGCCGTGTCAGGGTGGGACCAGGGCAAGCGAGGCCTTGTATTTTGTGTCATGACCCAGGTCTTGTAGACACAACAAGGGTCCCCCCAGTGGAGAGGGGGCGGAAAGGGAAAGAAATATTGGAAAACAGTCCATCGAGAGAGGTCTTGATGCCTGAAGCCGCAGACCTGGGCCAAGGGCCGAGTCACTTGATGAGGAAAATTGACCCTTCTTCTCTAGCCCCTGATGCACACTATCCCTTCAGGGCCTCCCAAGGGAGCTGGGACAGATATTAAAGTGACCATTTTGAAAATCAGGAAACTGAGATCCAGGGTAAACTGTGGTTAAATAGGTATCAGAGGGAATATTTGAACCCTGGTCTCTCTTGTTGCCACCATACCAGGCTGCCTTCACTTCCCCAATTTCCTTCTCTCTAAAATGGGGCTATAAATGCCTGCTTTTCTGATCTCCCAGGGATTTGGGGGAAAAGGTCTCTGAAGCCCTCTTGGTATGGAAGCCAGGCTTGTCCACTGAGAAATCCGGTCTGGAATGGGCCAGAGGGTAATCTGCCTTGGCTTTGTGAGCCTAGCTGAAGAGTGGACAGAGGGGAAAGGAAGAGGGAGGTGAAAGGACCAGAGACTCCTCCCCTTCCCCCAAATAAGATGCTTCTGCTAAGGAAGAGATCCGTCTGCAAGCAGTAAGCCTTCACTGGGCCTGTCAGACCCCCCCCCCCGGAACCCAAGCCATGTTGATTTTACGGAAAAGGCTGTTATCCACAGTTCAGGCCTGATTTATTGATTTTTAACTAGCTCCTCATGCTTGGGGAGAAAAGTCATCCTGCACTTCAGGGGCTGTAGCGCCTGCTGGTGAAAACAAGGAGCAGCGACCCCCTCCTGTCCTCTTCCTTACCCTCCCCCCAATCCAGGCTCCCTATTTCCCAGGCCGACTGCAGCAGGAGGCCTTGAATCTCGGAATCCTAGAGCTACAGGAGCCTTCAGAGGTCATGCAGTCCATCCCAGTCCAGAACAAGACTTCCCTTGGCAAGATGGCCAGGAGAAAGGCCATGCATTCATCCATCCACCCAGCCTTGATTAAGCACTTCTTCCGTGTCAGGCGCTGGCTAGTCACTTGGGGGTGCAAAGGCAACAGCTTCCATTCTACTGAGGCTAAGCAGTAAACATCAGCCACGGACAAAGGACGCAGGAGGTAGTGGGGAGGAGGGGGGCCCTGACACCCAAGGGGATGAGCAAAGCCACATAAAGGGGATGACCCTTGGCTGAGCCTTCAAGGAAGCTGCGGAGTCCAAGAAACAAAGGGGTGGAGGGAGGAGATGCTGTTAGGAGTCCAGGGAGCCCCAAGGGCACTGATCTGGCTGAAACATAGAGTGTGTGAAGGGCAGAAGTGGGCCATGGACCTGACAAAGTCAGCTGGAGCCGGCCTGGGCAGGGCTCAAGACTACTTGGACACCGCCAAGGATGTGGAGCTCATTACCTCCTGAGGCAGCCCATTTCCCTTTGGGACAGACTTTGACTATGCAGGCATTCTTCTTTACATGAAACCTGTGTCTGCAGATTCCATTCCATATTGCTTAGGTGTTTCAGTCATGGGGGTTTTCTTGGCAAAGATATTGGAGTGGTTTGCTATTTCCTTTCCCAACTTGTTTCACAGATGAGGAAACTGAGGCAAACTGGGTAAAGCGACTTGCCTTGGGTCACACAGCCAGTAAGTTTTCTGAGGGTGTATTTGAACTCAGGCCTTCCTGACTCCAGGCATGGCACTCTATCCACTATTCAGATGTGACTGCTTGGTTTCTCTATTCCACCGTGACAGGGTGGGGGAGAATTAGAATATGAAGGTGCCTGGATCCAGCAGAAAGTATATTCCTTGAAAGAAGGGACAGTTTGTTTTTTGTTTTGGGGAGACCTCAATCATTCAATCAACAATCATTTATTAAGCACTAATTATGTGCCAAGTACTGGGCTGAGTGCTGGGGATGAAAAGGGAGGCAAAAGACAGGAGCCCTACCTATCCTCACTGAGCTCGCATTCTAATGGAGGAGACAGCACACACATAATTATGTACTCGGAAGGGACTCTGAAAGGGGAAGGTGTTAGCATTGGGGGAGATCTGGAAGGGGCTCCTGCAGAAGGCAGTATTGGAACTGACTCGTGAAGGAAGCCGAGGAAGCTGAGAGGTAGAAGTGAGGGGGGAGAGCATTCCAGGAATGGGGGTCAGCCAGGGCAAAGGCCTGGAGGTGGGAGATCAAGTGTCAGGTAGAAGGAAGAGCAAGAATGTCAGTGTTTGAACAGTCGAGTTGGTAGAGAGTCAAGTGTAAGAAGACTGCAAAGACTGGAAGCGGCCAAGTTGAGAAGAACTTTCAAAGCCAAACAGAGGGTTTTACATTTGATCCTGGAGGGAGGAGGGAGCCATTGAAGCTTGTCCAGTCAGTCAGTCAGTCAATAAGCATTTATTAAGCACCTACTATATGCTAGGAACTTTGTTCAAAGGCAGTCTCTGCCTTCAAGAGACAACGTGCCAACAATTATGTACAAACTGAGCTATGGATAGGACAACTGGAAATAACCAACAGAAACCAGGATCTAGAATTGAGGGGGATGAGAAAAGGCTTCCTGTAAAAGGTGGCGTATGAGCTGAGACTTGAAGGAATCCAGGGAAGTCAGGAGATGGAGATGAGGAGAAACAGCATTCCAGGCATGGGGCACAGCCAGGGGAAAAGCCTGGAGTCGGGAGATGAGTGTCTTGATTGAAGAACAGCAGGGAGGACGGTGTTACTGGGACACAGAGTATGTTTGTGGGGTGGGGTGGGAGGGGAGAAGTGAGGGTGCAAGATGTAGGAAAAAAGAAAGGTAGGGGCAGGTGAAGAGCTTTAAAAGCCAAACAGAAGGTTACATATTTGATCCTGGAGGTGTTAGGGAGCCACTGGAGTTTATTGAATAAGGGAAGAGGAGACTTGTGCTTTAGAAGACTCGTACTACCTCATACCTATCAGATTGGTTAATATGACAGAAAAGGAAAGTGACAAATGTTGGAGGGGATGTGGAAAAATTGAGATACTAATGCACTGTTTGTGGAGTTGTGAACTGATCCAACCATTCTGGAGAGCAATTTGGAACTATACCCAAAGAAAACGGCACACCCTTTGACCCAGCAATATTACTAGGTCTGTATCCCAAGGAGATTTAAAAAAGGGAAAAGCACCTATAGGTACAAAAATATTTATAGCAGCTCTTTTTGTGTTGGCAAAGAATTGGAAACTGAGAGGATGCCCATCAATTGGGGAATGGCTGAGAAAGTGGTGGTATGTGAATGTGATGGAATACTATTGTGCTGTAAGAAATTGGTGAGCAGGATGGTTTCAGAAAAACTTGGGAAGTCTTATATGAACTGATGCAAAGTGAAATGAGCAGAACCAAGAGAACTTTGTACATAGTAACAGCAATATTGTATGATATCTTCTCAGCAATACAGTGCCCCAAGATGATTCCAAAGGACTTATGATGAAAAATGCTATCCATCTCCAGAGAAAGAATTGAAGGAGCCTGAATGCAGATTGAAGCATACTTGTTCAACTTCCTTTATTTTTCTTGCTTTTTTTCCCCTTTGCAACATGGCTAATATGGAAATATATTTTTCATGACTGAAAACAACAACAAAAACAATAACAACGCCTCTTACCTTGGCAGTGGAATTGAGGATGGCTTGGAGACACGTGAGGCGGGAAGTCCAAATAGGTCATTGCAGTGGCTTAGAGAGGGTGTGTATTAGGGTGTCAGTCCTGGAAGTGGAGAGAAGGAGATGTATAAGTAAAAGAGATGTTGAGAAGGCAGACTTGAAAACTGATAAGATATGGTGTGTGTGGGGTGGGGGTGGTGGTGAGTGCGAGTGAGGAATTGACAGGACATCAAGGCTGTGGGCCTGAGCGACTGAGAGGAGTGGCGTGCCCTCACCCTAGCCCCTAGCTCGGTGTCTGGTACACTTACCAAGATCCTGCTGATCCAGTTTTTGTCTGGTGGAGCACTCAGGCCTTTTAACACATTTATGACTTAGTATATAGGTCTTAGAGCATTGCTGGAGGTGCAGAGAAGTAATTGCCATGCCCTAGGCTACACAGCTAGAATCAGAGGCAGGATTTGTACTCAGGGCTCTAACCAAACAACAGTCTGCCTTTTTTCTTGCCTTGCTCAAAGAGGATGCTTAATAAACATTGATGATTAATTAGCATTTGAGGAGTTGAATTGAACCAATGAAATAGGGGCAGGGAAGAGTTGAGGAAATGGATTCTTAGGGCTACCTTTGTGATATGGCCATCCCCAAATCCCCCGTTTCTTCTTAAAATGACTTTACCCTGTCTTTGGGACACAGGAGTCCAGATCTTGTTTCTG